AAAAAAAAGTCGAACTGTCATAAGAAAAGTGAATTTTAAAGTATGTCAGTTATTACTTTACTGATGGTTGGAATCTTCCAGTTTACTGGTACAAGTACACTAGCAGAGAAGGAAAATGCATAAAGCTGATATGCCCCACTTGCCGTGCGAGGAGATGTTCTCCACTCCTCTATAAATACACAAGTGAAAGACCCCAGCTAGTGCTTCTACTCCTGCCAGCTAGGCTGTATGCTTATACAGTCAACTGAGTTCATCTTTGAACCTCTTTATTCATTATATTATATACATTATTATATAATATTATAAATATGCAATTTAATTAAACGTTATAAAAAACTGATTTGTTAGCAGGTTAAAAAGGTAAGTTATGAAAATTAAAGTGAATGCTTACAAAAAAGCTTGTTAAAGACAAGTTTCTAAAGACAAAACCAAAAAACCTAGAAAATTATGCTGAGAATATGACAACTCTAAAAGACTACGAAGGCTACAGAATGCATAATTCCATTTGTAGGACATTCAGGGAAAAGGCAGAAATCAGATTGAGTGCTGCCAGAGGCTAGGGATGAAGGGACAGAATTTACTAAAGGGGGCAAAAGAACACTTCCTTGGGTGTTGGAAACCTATCTTTTATATTGAGTATAGTGCTATTTCTCACCACCAAAGCATACAAGTCTCTCAACACTGGGAGACTTGCACACCTAGTAAGGCTAAATCTATATCTCATAGACCTGACTTAAAAAAAAAAAAAGTCACATGCTTTGTACGTCCGAGTTCTTTAGAACTAAAGATTGTGCTTTAGAGAAACACAACCTGGAAAATGTAGTTGATGTATTATGGGTATAGTTTACATTATTAAGATATAACTCTAATTAGAGAGCCACTCAAAGAAAAGGCCTTGGTCTTATGGCAGGAAAGGAAAAAGGAAAAAGGAAAAAGGAAAAAGGAAAGAAGGAAGAAAAAGAAAAGAAACAAAGAGAAAGAAAAGAAAGTAAAAAAGAAAAAGACACTCATAAGCCTGAAATTAAAAGGTTTAACATACATCTGTGTTAATTTTGAGATTTGCCATTCAACAGATGTTTCTGATTAACTGAGGAACTGCCAACCTTAGTCACTCTGGACAAGACATTCCATTCTGTTCTACATCCCTAGAGTTCATGTGGGAAAGACATGAGATATATATATAGAGAGAGAGAGAAAGATGAAGACAGAGTGTGTTCCAAAAATTTACTTTGCCTAATTCACAATTTCCCATGTTCTGAAGACAGTTTCACTCTCTGGTGGGTAATAACATTAGAGTTTTTAATCTCTGAAGCTGCAGTTGGAGATCAGTAATCATCAACAAACATTTACTAAATATGTATAAAAATCATGCTGGACCCTACAGAGCAAGCGAGAGTTCTTTTATAGCAAGGTTCCCAAAAGCCATTATCAATCTTTTTAGAGCTTCTTCCACTTAATGAACATGGTAAAATATTCTTTGGCTGTGTATCCACAAGTGTACCCGCCTACACTGCATAAGCTCTTGATGATCTTCTTAATCTGTTTTAGTCTTAAAATTTTTGACCAGTGTATGTTTTCAATAAACGCTGTATTCAATAATGACAGAAAAACAAAATGTTAAATTATCAATTAAAATACAATTACCAATATGGTGTACCAATGAAAGATTTCCGTTTGGCAATTGTAGCTGTAATCTGTGCAGATACTCCAAAATCAGCTATTAAAAAAAGAAGAAACATTTAGGGAAGAAAACTGAGGGAAGGTAAAATGATTTACAGTAACATGAGAAGAAACATTTAACAATTATTTTCATTAAACTAATTTCACAGAAACGAGATATTCTTAAACATCACATTAAACTTTTTTAACTTTTATGGGTTAGCACTAAAATATCACTAAGTAGTCAGGGTGTATTACAGCCAAATAGATTCTCATATATCCCTGCATGAATCAGATGAAAACAAAAGTCAATGATTTTGATGAGAAAGAGCTGAGAAAATTTAACCCGCCAGACTTAATAATATTATAATTTCAAATTCTCAGGACCTGAAATTCAAGGAATATCACTGGAAGGGACCTTACATAGTCATATATTCCATTCACTTCCTGCCATACTCATGATGACTGACATCAAACAAACCAAGAATCTACCGGCAAATCTGCCTAGCCTGAAAAGACACCCAAACAGAATGCTCCCCAAAATCTTACCTTAGCAATACCTTCTAATCCCAACACCAATCACTAGGAAATTTGTTTTTATGCAGGACTTGTTGCTATTCTTTAAGTATGTTGAGGTCTAAATATTTTCTAGTTTTTTAACAGTCATTTCTAAATCCTTATCAACCAACATTTTATATATAGGATTTCTGTCAGTAAGGCACATAATATTAACACAAAATATTAAACTGCTGATAGAAACTGTTCACTATGACATCAATAGTTAGATAAATGCTTTTTTCATCTTTAGAGGTAGCTCAGCAAAATTTTATTATGTAAGTTAATTATCAGATAGATACTTTTATATCTGATCAGTCCTACTGTAGGCTATAATTCAAAATAGTTTTATTCATGCTTTTATAAAATAAATGTTTTTTGAATTCTGATTTGTCTTATAGTAATATATAATCCAAAATAACTTTCCTATTTATTAAACTCTTCATTTAATACCTAACGTCCATGATTCTGTTTATAAAAACTACTATACTATACATGTTCCCAGTCTCAAACTTTCAAATTAAGTTATTATTTAGGTTTGGAACTCTATTTTAGTCATAACCAAAAGTTATAAAAGGTACAGTTTGAAATAAAGCAACATCCAGCATCTAAATTACATCCTTATATTAGTAATATTGTTTTTGTTTTTTTTTTTGAGAGAGAGAACAAGTGGGGAAGGGGCAGAGGGAGAGGGAGACAGAGAATCCCAAGCAGGCTCCGCGCTGTCAGTACACAGCTCGATGTGGGGCTGGGTCCCACGACTGTTGGGATCATGACCCGAGCTGAATCAAGAGTCTGACTCTTAACCAACTGAGCCACCTAGGCACCCCGACTATATTTAGTTTTAAATGCTAACGTAAAGGTTGTGGGATTTTTGGTGTTATTGATTTTTTGGCTTTTGTTTGTTTACCCTGTTTTTTGGTTACAAGGCAATTTTGTACAAATTTCTTACTAAAAGTCACATTCCTCAGGTTACAGGTGAAAGAATTCCTGAAGAATTACTATTTTGCCTTATCTTTACAACAAATCTGTCATATGTGAAGGGCGGACTCTATCCCCATGTAGGAGAAAAGGGAACAGAAACAGGTTACATATGCCCCTCAAAGAGATTTCCACCTAAAAATACACGGATGCTGAGGGAAAAACTAATCTTACAGAGGCAAATAAAACTTACTATGTTCTGGAATAAATTTGCTCAAATGACAAAATTTTAATTTACTTACCCAATTTTACATGACCATTATCCGTTAACAGAATGTTAGCTCCCTTCAAAGCGAGAACATTTTAGTTAAAGTAAGAAACTTTTTATCAGACAGCACATATAATTGATCAAATATACGTATATAAAATGATCACAAGTGGCAGCCTTAGACCTAGAAATACTTAAAATTTAAAGTATGCCCAATTAAAGTGTTAAATTATTATATTTGCAGGAAAACTTAGGGTCTTTTAAGACAATTTGACTATTCTTATAAAATGTTCTACCTTGCAAAACGCTGCTATTAACACAATATGAATGTTATTATGAAAATGATGTATTAGTTTTCATCTGTTATATTCTTACTGATCAAACATTGTGACTGCCCTAAAACGTGACCTAATACTGGCATTTTCATTTCCTGTATTACATCTTAAACGTGTTACTTCCTGTTCTAGGAGTTCATCATCAGTTGAACCACTGCTGGTGCATAAGACTGAACCTTGCTGCTTACTCATGAGGCTGTCTATCTTAATGTGTTTGCCCACAGTTGAGGACCACCCAGAATATAAACAACTAGCCACAGGCCCACCGGATTAAAATGTCACCTGGCTGCATGACTGTGAGATAACAAAATATACACTGGTTTCTACCCCCCGGTTCCTAGCCCAGTTCCCCTGAAAGCCCTGTAATTTCCTAAGTGACAAGAGCCCTAGGAGCATCTTTTGTTCTAGTATATGCTTGCAGACCCTGGTTCTTGATGCAGTGCTCCTGAAACCTTTGTAATTTCAGGGGTCACAGAGTAGTGTCTTCTGTTCTAATGGAGCAACTCTGGGTAGGCTCCTGGATGGCTCCTGGATGAGGGCTGATCACTGGAAAGACCAAGCCATGACTAGAACTTCAGAATTTTCAGCCCTGCCCCCCATTCTCTTGAGAAGGGAGAAGAGCCAAAAATGGAGTTAATGACTGATCACGCCTACATGAGGAAGCCTCCATAAAATCTCAATGGTATGGGGTTTGGAGAGTTTTCGGGTTGAATTACACACAGAGGCACTGGGAGAGGGGTGTGTCTGGAGAATGCACGGAAGCTCCATGCCCCTTCCCACACACCTGGCCCTACACACCTCTCCCATCTGGATGTTCATCTGTATCCTTTATCATATCTTTTAATAAGCTGGTAAACATAAATAATTCCCTGAGTTCTGAGAGCCACACTAACAAATTAACTGAACTCAAGGAGGGGGTCTTTGGAACCTCCAATCTATACAGTCAGTTGCTCAGAAGCACAGCTGATAAACTGGGCTTGAACTGGTATCTGATGTGTGTGTGTGTTGGGGGAAGGGACAGTCTCATGGGGCTGAGCCCTTATCTGTGGGATCTGATGCTCTCTCCAAGTAGACAGTGTCAGAATTGAGTTAAATTGTAGGACACCCAGCTGGTATCACACCGGGGAAAAACCTGCAGACATGTGGTAACCACCAAGGTCAGAATGAAGTGTTCTGTGTGAGTAGTAAAGAAGCCTCAGGAGAGAAGCATATAGTCGGAAAGAACTGGGTTTTTCCCCCACACAGAAAGGGAAAAAAAACTCAGTTTTTCCCATTTCAATGTTAGTAGCATTCTGGCCACCTCTACTCCCTGATCTGAGCTCCAAAAAAGATGATAAAACCACTACATCTTCAACAAGCCCAAAGGTATAGAGACTTTCTAAATTTTATTTTTTGCCTTTTCTGTAACTTTTAAATGAGCAAGCAAAAGTAAGCAGGCTAAATCTTTAGTCCAAGGTGCCAACAATCATGTAATTATAGGCTAACAGGAAAAGCACTAGGAAACCGGCCCCACCCAAAAAAGAGGAAGCCATAAAGAAGACTGTACCCCCTGATATTACTGGGAATAATGGGAGAAACAAGAAAAAGAAGGGAGAAGGGACTACAGCAGGGATTTTAATTTGATCTAAGCCCCAGAGATCTAGATGTCTGCCACGGTCCTCAGTTTGGTCTTTGCCCAGCTCCAGACTAATTTTCCTAAATTGCAGTTTATATCATATTACGTGCATCTATGGCCTCTGATGCTCCCCTCTTCCTTCCATCCTTCCATCTCTCTCTCCTTGAGCAATCAGGTACTATTTTATGTTCTAGGGTTATAGTAATAAATGAGAACAAGCTCCATCTCTCATGAAGTTTACAGTGAATAGGAGAGAAAGAAAATCTAAAAATACATGCACACATGAATGAATGAATGAATGAACCAACAAATGATTCAAAGCCAGGAAGAGGGAAGTACTCTAAAGCCAAGTAAAGCAGGAAGAGAAGGCCTTTCTAAGGCAGTGATGTCTGAGCAGAGATCTAGATGAAGTGAGGGTGCAGAGGCATGCCAAAGTCTGGGAGAAAAACATTCCAGGAAGAGGGCACAGCAAATACAAAGTCTTGGCGCCAGAATGAGTCAACATACTCCAAAACCAGCAAGCTTAGTGTGGCTGGAACAAAATGAGTAAAATGGAGAGGAGTATGAGATGAAGTCAGAGAGAAAAGCTGGGGCCAGATCATGTAACACCTTACAGGCAATGGTAAAAACAAAACAAAACAAAACCCCCAAAACAAACATCTGGATGTTATAGTGAGTAACGGGATGGTGGTTTATAAGCAGAAGAGTGACAAGCTCTGATTTAAAAAGATCACTCTGGTTGCAAGGTGGAGAAGGACTGCAGAAACACACAAGAACAGGAACAGGGAGACTGGTTAGAAGGCTGCTGCAGAAGTGCAGGTATTAACAGACCGATGGCTTAGACCAGGGTAGAAATAGTGGTGATGGTCACACTCTCCCCAGCTGGGCTCAAACTCTGAAGTTCATCACACAATTCCTCCTGGAATCGAGCACAAAACCATCCGGCTATCCCCATCATATGTTCTCTTCTCTTTGATAATATGGCACAGTTTTTATATTCCCTAAAATGACCCCACACTTTCTGACGTCTTCATTTTTGCTTACATTGTTCCCTCTGCTTGGAAGGCACTCCAACCTCCATTTCTGACACAAATTTATCAGTCTTTCCAGATCATCTATGTGCTGATGACACAGTGCTTTTAATGCACTCATGTTATACTTCTCCCTATGAACTCCAAAGCTCTTTGCTTAGGTCTTAAATGGCTTATGAAAAACACTTAAAGTAAAGGATCTCAGCAGATGATCTGAGAATTCACTGAAATTTCATGCAAAATATGAAGGCATATGCATGAGGACATTTTCTGAAAAGAGAGTCCATGGCTTTCATTAGAGACTCAAAGAACAACATGATTAAGAAAAAAAATATTAAGAACCTTTATGCCAGAGAAAACCTCAGAAAATAAAAGGGGGAGAGAAATAGGAGAAAAGATGAATGAGGAAGAAGGTAAAAGAAAAATAAATGAAAGAAAAGAACTAAGTTGGGGAGATGGCAGTATCTTTAGAAAGAACCTCAGGAAGCCCTGCCCAAGCACCCTGGTTTACCGCAGAGCTGACCCCAGCACACCCAGTGCACCTGCTCTCCTCTGCCAGTTAAATCAGATCATCAGAAGATGTTACAATTGAATTTATCCATTTTGAAACATTATTAATGATAGTTCCTTAAGACTACCAAAGTTTTCTAAAATATTCAAAGTATGAAATGTTATAAAAACCCTAACTTGATGGAAGCTAAGGACTTAATTTGCAATTTACAAATAAATAACTAGAGATAAGCTAATACGGGTTATTATAACACTAATCCATAAATGTATGCTTTAAACAAGTGAATTTTGTGGCAAGTGAATCACATCTCAACAAAGTGAATCGTATCTCAATAAAGCTACTTTAAAAAAGTAATAAAATTCTTAAAAGTGTCACTTAATTTTATTACAGTAACATATTTCAGGTAAGAAATTCATCAGATAGACTAAGACAATTTTGCTCAACAGTTTGGTCTGAGTATTTAAAAATGAAGAGAGGGCCATTAGGTTAAACTTATGATGTATACCTTTATATCTCTGTGCATTTTTCCTTTACTGTGAAGATAGTATAATCCCTGGAGTTTCAAGAAAGAAAAAGAAAAAAAAAAAAAAACAGAAAAATTAACAAGACTTTATTTATTACAGAGAATACTTTGGGATTTAAAGTGATCAACTGAGTAGCAGTTTCTGTTTTTTATTTACTCATCACAGATAATCTAGCAGTAATCATTAATTTATTTTACTGAAATAGCCTAAAAGAAGAATCAAGAAAATGAAAAAGGCAAAGTTCTGTTGGAACCACTAATTTTCTTAAGACAATACTTTCCACTAAACTCTGCAAATAGTTTGAAATAACTTTTAAAAAGCATAAATGCAATTAGTATTAAAATGAGCTTCAATTCCCATAAGAGTGCTTAATTTTTAAGCCTTTCTTTGGTATTCAGAGAAGTATAAAAATACGAAACAACAAATTCACAGCACTTAAATTTGAGGTCATATTGTCACACTGAGGCTTTATAGTGCTTATCTGCAAATAAAATTTGAGTCTACTAGACAATTAAAAATGTGTTAATATACAAGAATTTACCAAATTAGATGTTCAATCCTTACTTTACTTAACAGACAATGCACAATAATTAAACAGTCTAATAAAAAATGTTAAATCAGCACTGGATTTACCTGTAGTGTTTCTCTGCTAACATATGCAATTTGCAGTTCTGACAGAGGTCCCGTTACTGTAAGAGAAGAAAATTTATATTAATGAAATTAGTCAAAGCATGTTTTTCAGTAAATGGCAAAGTTTTTACAAGTTCCACTAAGCAGTAGCCTTAATACACCTAAAAAACTGTACTAAAACATAAGCTTCATGAGGGCAACATTTTTTAAACCTGGTTTTTTCAGTGTTGTATCTCCAGTGTTCAGAACGGTGCCTAGCAGGGGAAAGCTGCAAACAAATGTTGTGGAATGAATAAAAGACTGAAATACTCTCTGAAATTAATTGTATTTTCATTTTTGTACCTTGCTGATCAATATTACCTCTTAAATGTTAAAAGAAATAAATCATGGCCTAGAGGTTTAGCTAGTTTCTTTTTTAATGTTTATTTATCTTGAGAGAGGAGAGTGTGCACACATAAGCTGGGAAGAAGCGGAGAGAGAGGGAGACAGAGAGTCCCTATCTATGCTGACAGCACATTAATATATGATCATAAACATATATATAAACATAATATATGTTCATAAAGATGCAATCAATAGACAAGTTTGGAAAGTAAAGGTCTCTTCCTTACCCAAACTATTACTCAATAATACTCAGTAATTACTCAATATCAATAGTTTGGCCTAAGGTCTACCAGACAATCTTATAAAGAAACATTTTAAATAATGTATGTTATGCATCTCACACAAGATTATGAATGGAATCATGTTACATATACAATTCTGAAACCTGCCCTTTTCACTTACCACAGACACCTTTCCATATCAATACATGTAACTTAAATCATATTATTTAAATAATATTTCTCTGTGTGCATCTATCCACTACTGAAGACATTTAAGTAGTTTTCTCTTTTTCACTACTAAATCACTTTAGAATAAAGAAATACATTAGATGGGAGAGACTATTCTAAGAATGGAACTAAATTCCAGTGGTGGAATCTTTTGCTAGATAGTAATCCCATATTTACCCAAACTTAACAACTTTGTAAAAATGTTTACTTTGGAGTACTTGTGGTATTTCACAATTGTGGAAGAGAGAAATGTATTTCACTTAGATTCTACCGGAGCACCTGGGTTAAGCATATGACTCTTGATTCGGCTCAGGTCATGATCTCACGCTTTGTAGGGTCAAGCCCCTGTGTTGGGCTCTGTGCTGATAGTGCAAAGCCTGCTTGGGATTCTCTCTCTCTCCTTTTCTCTCTCTCCCTTACTACCCTTCTCCCTCTTGTGCTCTCTCTCTCTCTCTCTCTCTCTCAAAATGAATGGATAAACACACACACACAAAAAAGTTTCCATTGAGGACAAGTCTGGGTCTGAGTGTCTGAAGACAAGCCATATAACTAATTCTTATGGTTTGTAAGCCCACTCTCATTCAGTAAGATGGGCATCCTTTAGATTTCTGTTTCCACAGTATGGCAAACAATCTGAATACCCTGAAAATAACACCTACAAATGACAGAAAAGAGTATTTTAAATAATCTTTTAAATGCCTAGCTAAGTTTGTTAACAGTAAGAGACTTTCCCAGGAACCAAAAACAAAGAGGAAATGAAAATCAGAATGGTAAAAATGTGAAATATTCTAGCCGTCTCTAAGGGAAAGGCCAATCTTGGTAAGCTGGGGTGTTGATTTTATCCCCTACAGGAACACAGAAGAAAAGTCCATAGGTCTGTAGAGGCAGAGTTAAAACAAATATCCCCACATAACCAGAACCCTCGAAGGACTACATCCTCATTTTATTTTATTTTATTTTTTTTTTAAATTTTTTTTTTTTCAACGTTTATTTATTTTTGGGACAGAGAGAGACAGAGCATGAACGGGGGAGGGTCAGAGAGAGAGGGAGACACAGAATCGGAAACAGGCTCCAGGCTCTGAGCCATCAGCCCAGAGCCCGACGCGGGGCTCGAACTCACGGACCGCAAGATCGTGACCTGGCTGAAGTCGGACGCTTAACCGACTGCGCCACCCAGGCGCCCCTACATCCTCATTTTAAAAGGGTAGCCAAGCACAAGGAGAAGACTCAGGATTTTGTGCCATGGCCTGGGATCTGGATAGGGGAAAATATCTTCTCCTGATGCTGTCACCACAGGCTTCTTGGTCATTCACGTTCAGGGTTCAGATACACTGGATACACTGACGTCTTGGGGTCACAGGAAAAAACCACTGTGGAAGATACACTCTCAAAAGCCATGTATAATTCCCACTGACGATGATCTCAGAACTCAAAATTATTAAATAAATGAGAAAGCAATTCGCCATAACTGACATGAAAAACTGTGGAAAATTGTTAACAATATTAAACAGAAATGAAAATGCTCAATAGAGGAGAAAATGCATTATGCTGGAACAATAAAAGGTTCTAATGTTAGTTCTTCAAAGAAAAAGTAAACAAATGGAGAGGAAAAAACTCATGAAAAAATGTAAATTCAAAATGTATCCCCGCCCCCCACACACACCTGTGGTGGTTTAAAATATGTCCAAGAATTCTTTGATATTTCCCCCTCAAGAGTTGGAACTTAATTCCCTTCCTGAGTATGGGCTGGACAGAAACGACTTGCTTCTGAAGAACAAAATATGGCAGAAGGGCCAGCATATGACTTCTGCCACTCCATCATAAAAGGCTGTGTGGCCTCCTCCCGCTCTCTGGAATCACTTGCTCTGGGGCGGGGCGGGGCGGGGCGGGG